ATGGGACAAGAACATCTCATCTTCCTCTACTAATATAGTGGACATTTCTTCTGCTAAATGCTTTGAGTTCTTAATGTGGTGTGTAGACTTCCCCACCAAAGGTGCTAACAGATCTGCCAAAGCCCTGGACGTATTGTACCCTATCGAACCTGTATAATCAACTATCGGCCGCAACGGGTTTCCAGGTTTGTGTATTTTAGGAGTACAGTACATTCTCGGTACGTTTTCCGCTGTAGGATATAAATGTTTATACTGTTCTTCTGTGATCTTACTACTTTCCTTGAGACGTTTTAAAATGGCAACTAGCTTCCTCTTGTATTTCTGTGTTGGGTCCGACCGTAGTTTTCTATATGTTTTCTCGTCCGCTAACATCCCACTCACCTTTCTTCATAGTCTGTTCTGTCCATGACCACCGCTGCCTTCCCTTTGTCCGCCGGGAGAATCAGCAAGTCCTTTTCCTTCTTCAGTTCTTTGAGGGCTTCTCTTTCTTGTTTTGTGATGTTGGGTTTCGGGGGTTTCGCTGTTCTCAGGATGCCTGCCACCTCCGACCGTAACTGCTCCGCGCTGCTTGGGGACAAGTGCAGGCATGCACTTTCCGTAGCCACCACGAAGTCTTCCACCGGAACCTTGTCTGGCGTGACGGCGAAGTTCAGGCCCTTCTGCAGTACCCCGGTCTGGTGGTCGGTTAGCGACTTCTTGGAGATGTTCACTACCCATTTCTTCAGCTGTGTGCCGGATAAATCCACGTCTAAATCCTGTTGCTGTCGTGAATTGGCTTGTTTGAGTCGGTCAAACTTTTTTTACGGAAACTTTATTTACGGAAATTAGAGAAGTATGTGGACAGTCAACAGTCAAGAAAATCCGGGATTTGGAGGCCCAAACGAAGAAAATTGCGAGACATCGTAACCACTTAGTGTTCAACCTCCGGTGCAAGAGCGACGACATCACCCCTCCCAGCATACGATTGAAAACGGGTATACGCACAGAAAATGCCAAGAACATCATACAGAAAGCGGAAAAGGCGTTAGTGAAGGAAAGAATCCGGTTGATAAACAACAAAAATCTCAAATCTTAAGGAAAAACAGCAAAACTTATCGGAAGAACTAAGTGCGCAGTTACCGGAAAATTACCAGGAAGCCGTGCGTTCGCATGTAATCAGATCCGGGGAACGAGAGTTCCAAGTGACGCGGGACCGCCATCTTGAAAAGTTTGACCGACTCAAACAAGCCAATTCACGACAGCAACAGGATTTAGACGTGGATTTATCCGGCACACAGCTGAAGAAATGGGTAGTGAACATCTCCAAGAAGTCGCTAACCGACCACCAGACCGGGGTACTGCAGAAG